TTGCAATCAAAAGCATTTTAGAATCAATTGAAAGATGGTATAAGAAGTTGTCAAGTCCCAATTAATGAGCATCTATCTAGTTCAATGATCGATAAAGGTTAAGCATTCATGTCATCATCAGGAGATCATTTCCCTAATTGTTTTTGTTTTTTATTTTTTTGAATTAAGAAACAAAGCAAAATAAAAACTAAAATAAAAGAAAAATAGGCAATTATAGACAGGCAATCAATGCATGAACAACCCACACCCCCAAGCTTAAGATCGACATTGTCCTCAATGTAAAAAGATAGAAGTTAGTGCAATGGTGCAGAGGACATACCAACTCACTAGTCAGAAGGAGGCGGAGTGGTGGCATCCTGGCGGCGTTGCCACTCATGAAAAGACTGCATCATATGGTGGATAGAATCCAGGTTGTCTCAAAATGAAGCCCTTGTATCATTGAAATTGCTATTACATTCCCCGATTCTTATAAGTTTTTTGAAGGTAACCCCTCCAATCAAGAGAAGCAATAGCTAGATATTAGAATTCTTAAAGCATGTTTGAATCTTTGATGGAGTAGTGACCAGCAATTTAATGGAGATCAAAATCTTTCTCAATTTGTTTTTTTTTTCGAATCTAATCAATTAATTGAATCACCAGATCCAATAACAGGGGATCGGAAACATAAATATCTCCAAAAAAAAAAAAACTTACAGACTTCTCTCTGATGAGTCCAAATGCGCAATCAAGCCCGTCGCAATCCATTCTCCAAACTCCCAACTTCTCTCAAACGGAGAACCAAGCCGAGACCCACCAATTTGAATCCAGAAAGGCGGTGGTCCGGTGGTGGTTGGCGAGGCGGAGTGCGGTGCTGATCGAAGAGGTGAGGCGGCGGCTGATGGGCGTTGATTTGGGTTAGGGCAAAGAGGAAAAAGGGGTGAGGAGCGGTGATGATTGCGATGGATTGCGGCGTTTGGTGATGATGGAGGTTGGTTTGCTGATCGGAGAGAAGGAGGATGGCCGGCGATGAAAAGGGGGCGGCGGTCGGAGATGATTGTCGGAGGCGATTGCTGAGGGCGGGTAGCTGGTCGAAGGGGGGAAGGCAGAGGGGATGTGGCGGCTGATCTGGTCGGAGGTCGAAGAGGGAGTCAGGGCGGCGGCGGAACTTTGGGGAGATGGGGCGGCGGAACGGCGCTGGTTGATGGCCGTGCAGTGGAGAAGGGTCGGAGGTGGGAATCGAAGAGGATGAAAGGAAAGAAGGTGGGGGTCAGGTTGCTGGGTTGAAGAGGGATTTTTCAGGATCATAACTATTCCCTTAAATTGTGGGAAGTGATTATTCCCACAACTATAGCTAAGGAGAACCATACTCAAATCCCTCAAATAGCGGGAAGTGATTTTAACCGCTCAGTCGAGCTACGCGAGCTAGTGCGCAGGTTGAATGCTCAAACGAGCTTGTAGGCGAGCTACGCGAACAAGCGAGCTTGTCATGCGAACCTCAGAAGTGTTCAGACGAGCTTAAACCCTGTTGGCGAGCTTGGCTCGTGCGGGCGAACCTCCTGCAGGCAAGCTAATTTACAAGATGGCAAATTGAACGTTCAGGCGAGCTCAGTTCTTTTAGGGTGAAGTCTACTGGGTAGGTGAACTTTGCTTCCCCTGCGAAGTCAAGCGTTCAGGTGAGCTTGACTTAGCTTGTTTGATGCAGGCGAACAAGCCAAATGGGCTTTGTTCTTGCGATCTTGAGCATGCAGGCGAAGTCCTACATGCGAACTTCTAAATTTTAGGATAAAGACAATTTTTATTGCCGACAAAACCCCCTTCAAAGTTTTCAGACCTGAACCAGGTTGTATGGGGTCTGGAATACTTTGAATGAAAATGATCACTGCTCATTGGTTCAGGCGAAGTCAGGTGCCTTACTGGTGAACTCGATCACTTTGGTTGAGTTGAGTTTTTTAGGCGAGCTCAATGAAGTCTGGCAAGCTAAGTGTTTAGGTGAACTTAGCATCTAGACGAGCTTGAGTCTGCAGGTGAGAGTCAGACAACTGCAAGCAAGGTCCAAATAGTGGCAGGTGAGCCACGTGCTTGCAGGTGAGCCACGTGCTTGCAGGTGAGCCACGTGCTTATAGGAGAGGCTCGGCGTCTACCAGCTAAGGCAGCGATGGTGCGTCAGATTGCATTAAATGTGATTTGATGAGACGTCCTCATTTTCACGTTCTTAATCTAAGTCATTGTTTCGATTGGATTTCAAATCTTAACCGTTGTTTTTTAGATTAATCTCAACCATTCGTTTGAATTTGAAGTATTTCAACGCTTGAAAATCAGATTTGAACCGTCAAATCTGAGAATTAATCTTGGCGGTTCGTTTTGAATAGTCGGATATGAACTATTTCGTTCGATCTGAGCCGTTGCTTCGGTCAAGATAGCAAATCTCAACCATTGATTCATGCCTATATAAAGGCTTCATCTCCCTCCCTGAGAGACTTCTGCACACTTAGAAAAAATTTCATTTGAGTTCTTTGAGAAAAAGATCTCAGCTTTCTTCGACTTCTTCTCGAAACAGAAATGACATCAAGAAAAGTTCTTGCATCAAAGGGAAAGAAGAAGGCTTTCTCTTCCGCCGCCTCTGGCGTTGTCGCTGCCGTCGCCGGCAATCCACCGCTGTCTTCAGGCAGGTTTAATGAACAATGGACAAAACTAAGAAGATGAACATGAGTTGTTCATCTTCTAGCAAGCTTCTTCAATTCTGGCGAAGTTCTGCTGTTCAGGCGAACTTCGCTCTGTCAGGCGAGCTTCGCCCAGTCAGGCTAGCTTTGCTTTGTCAGGCGAGCTCTGCTCAATCAGGCAAGCTCTGCTTGTTAGGCGAAGTTCGTTAGCAGGCGAGGTTCATTATGTCAGACGAGCTTTGTTAGCTCGCTAGCGTAGTGGAGCTTTGATGGGCAAAATCTGCAAGCGCACAGACTCGTTGTAGCTATCAAGGTCGATCCCACAGGGACTAGGGTTAATTACCAAATTTCACGTTATTAGACTAGCTAAACTAATGAGTAAATTAGAAGAGATTTAATAAAAGAAATAAAATAAACAACTAATCGGATGGAATTCAATATAATGAAGGACTAGGATTGGGTTATCACCACAACTTAGGTGTTCAATGATGAATTATTTCAATTCTTGGTGTTGGTTTAATCTAGAAAGGGTGAATTAGCCTAAATTAATCTAAAGCCTCTTTCAAGGTCTAAAGATCGTGCCTAATCAATCTCAATTAACCTACTTTCGTGGAATCAAGATTAAATTAAACCCATTAAGCTTTATGCTAATCCAAATCAAATCCCCAAGGAATCTAGCCTACTTTCGTGGTTCGAGCTCCCTGCTTAATTTCTAGAGATCCGGTATTAATCTTCACCTTTCAGTCCTTCAATTAATTACCTATGATTGCTAATACGGTGATCAAGCGAATCAACAAGATTAAAACACAAGAAATTAAGTTTAAAGATCTAAACTTTCACCAAGAACATATATTAATTCATCATCAATCACCAAAAAGTTGGGTTCTTTCCCAATCCTAGACAAGAAATCTACTCACACATGATTGGAATAAGAGAAGACATCAAATAATTATGCAAATCAATCATAAGAAGAAATAAATCAAAGAGAGGAAAGAGTTAACCCGTCTTTCAATTGAAATCTTCAAAATAAGAACTTGCAATCCAATCTTCTACAAGAGATTAATGTCTTCCTTCAATACTTGAACCCTAGAATAGTTGCTAGTTGATGGCTAAAAGAAGAAAACATAAGATATCCAAAACCCTAAGTCAAAACATCTATTTATATGTCTCCAAAAATCTGGAAAATAACTAATTCCCGCGCCACCGGTGTGGTCTGCACCACACCAGGGTGTGGTAGGGGCTGTTTTGCTGATTTTGTGCTTGTTTCTTCAGTTTTCGGTATTTTGGCTATAACTTTTGCGTCCGACCTCGGAATGAGGTGATTCAAGTTGCATTGGAATCCTGTTGAAGAGATCTACAACTTTCAGTTTTTGAGTTTTTCTTGATTCAAACTGCATCATGGTCGAAATTCCAGTTCTTCATATTCGTGCATCCATTTTCTTCACGAACCATGCCTTCGAAATGTTGTTGTTGCTTCAAACTCTTGTAAAACTTCCAATGATCATCAAATCTTTCAATCTTGAGCCAATACCTACATATAAGAACACAAACAACAGCAGTATCCTCGATCTAAACACGAAATATGCATTAAACACTCGTAAATCATGCTTAAAACACACTAAGATAATGCATATTTTACGTGTTTATCAGAGAATAAACAGTGCAAGATGCCCCATTTTAAGAACTCATTATATAAAGGATATATAGTACGGGCTAAGGAGTGTGCACCTAATAAAGTGTCTGAAGTGTTTGTAGCAATGAGAGAGAGAGAGAGAGAGAGAGAGAGAGAGAGAGAGAGAGAGAGAGAGGAGAATAAACAGTGCAAGACGCCCCATTTTAAGAACTCATTATATAAAGGATATATAGTACGGGCTAAGGAGTGTGCACCTAATAAAGTGTCTGAAGTGTTTGTAGCTTTAAGAAAAAAAAAATAGCTAACTAAGAAGGTGATGAGAGGACCATAGCCCTCAATCCCACAAAACTCAATTAAGCTATAATTTGTTAGCTAGATTAAGAAAGTGTTGTCTCTGGTAAGCAGCCTTGATATCTCATCATCTGAGTTACTAGCTAGATTAAGTAAAGGAATGTTCTTTAAGAAATTTTCCTAAAAAATCCTTGAGAAGCAACGGAGCAATTCTTTGACGTACCCTTTACCTGCCTTCCGAGATGTCCAATTGTGAAAATAACCCCTCAAGAATAAAATATCCTTCCGGAAAGTAGAGCAAATGATTCTAGAGGGGGGTGCCTTACAAAATATTGTTTGAAATAGAATAGATAGAGAACATTAATACCCTACACGCCAAGGAATGTTCTTTAAGAGTTTTTCCATGCCATTTGGTTTGGAGTGAAATGTTGAAAGTTTCAATATCGATAGCATGATTTCTGCAAATAGAAGAAAAAAAAAATGTTACCTAAGAAAGAATCATTCCGTAAAGTTTTAGCGTGATTAATTCTTAAACCATAAACATCCTCCAAGAAGTGAAAAATGGTTTTAAAAACATCAATATTGTGATTTATTCAGCCTCAGAAAAAAAACTCCAATATCATCAGCAAACTGTAAGGATCTAATGGAGTTAAGTTTAACCTTTATGTGAAGGTAAAAAAAGCACCAAAGATAATACGATTGAGAACATCGACAACAAGAACATAGAACATAGGAGACAAGGGATTTTAGAAAACTTTTGCTGGCAAAAATAATTGATACAGTTTTGTTCACGAAGCTAAAATGTTTGGAGGAAAGGATGTGCTAGATCCAAGAACACCATTTTTGACCAAAACCTCTAGCCATTAGCAAATCAATAATGATTGATCAATTGTTACAGTCAAAAGCCTTCATGAAATTAACTTTGACGGGAGAGACTTCTTTTTTTTTAGCGGAACAATGATGGATCATTTCATGTGCAACCAAAATAGAATCTAGAGTTGATTCCCCCTTACTAACGGGTAGTTGAGAGGCCGTGCGCGAAGGTGGACGACAAAGGAGCAAGCCTATTAGAGAGTATTTTAGTAGGCATTTTTTAAGAGGCGATTGAAGAGACTAATAGGCCTAAAATCCATGTCATGACACGCAACAATCCACCTTAAGAGCAAACATAATAGTAGATCGTAGTTCAATCTATGCAGAAATGAAGCGCTATTATAAAGAGATCCAAACCGAAAGAAAAAAAAAGAAAATTGACTCAGTGTGTGGCCCCCCCAAAAAAAAAAGAAACCCAATATGCATTAACTTGCAATTCCACCGGAGAAAATTACCAAAATAAAAAGAAAAAGAGGCCAAATGAATCAAATTATCATGGAGTTACGCCTAATATAGAAAAGAATTATGTTGTATCATTGCATATAGACATCAAATAATTTTCAGTTAGCCGATTTGATTAAATACTTCTTCACCAAATGCAAAAAAAATTACAGGTTCGTCCAATTATCTAAAAACAATATCTTTGCATATAGACTAAATTAGATGTATCTCTAAATTTATTGTAGCATGAGTCATATCCACCTAATTACTAAATCAATTTAATATTTATTGTAAAAGATTTACCTTTCATTATATTGCCTATAAATAGGAGCGCATGCAGACACACTATGGGCATTAGATACCAGAAAGGTTATTAGCTTATTGTGTTTTACTTTAGGGGCTGTTTGGTTGCACACTTTTTGAGAAAACTTTTCTCAAAATATCTGACAATGACAAATTTGTAATTAAAAGTTTTCCAAAGTTTTCTGTAAATTGTGTTTGGTTCAACAAAAAATTTACAGAAATATTTTAAATAAAATATCAAAACCTACCAAATTTTACAAAAAACAATTTCCTCTCAAAATGAGAGGAAATCACCAGAAATCTGACACATACCATATTTAATTAAAAATCTACCAAATCTTGTTATTTTCTATAAAGTTATGAGCTATTTTTTTGTTTTGAACCAAACAAGCAAAGTACAAAAAACAAGAAAATTGGTACTTTTTGATTTCTCAAAACTTTTCCTATAATTTTTTTAAGAAATACAAGGAAATCATATTTTAGGTGGAAAACATTTCCTATAATTTCTAGAAATTGAACCAAACACCCCCTAACTCAAACTTTACCAAAAATAGAAATAACTAAACTCTTCCTACAAAGACTCTCTAGGATTAAGAAAGCAAATCGGTCAAATTTTGGATCAAACCGGATTCGTTTTTCCTAATCAAAACAGACTCCTAAAACATTACCTAAAATACCAAAAAACTGACAAAAACGCTGATATCTCTCAATCCGGAGGGAATTTGGCGAAACTGACAGCGGAAAACGGAACATCGGTGGCTTCGGTAGACTCCATCTCTTCAATTTTCAATGCTTACAACTTTATAATTCGAGGTCTTCAGAATAGCATGGCCAGTAGGTACGGAAGCAAATGGAATTCCTTCGTTCTATGTATAAATCTAACAAGTCGCAGCAGAAAGGAAAAAAAAAAGAAGAAGTAATATCATCGAAATTACGCTGACAAGCTTCACGCTTCTCTTCTTCTCACTTATTAACGGAGATGATCAGAATAGCACGGCGAGTAGGTACAGAAATATACCGGATCGATGCCCCTTAATTTGCATACCTGGGTGATCTCGCGAGTAATCAAATTGTAAGATAAGAGCTCATAACCTATGACTACGAAAATTACACCCGTATCTGGATGAAGTGCCCTGACTTCGATGTGCCCCCAGAGCCAGAAACCCCGTCGAGGTTGCTCGATAAATCTTTGAAGGTCGACCCTATATCTCGACCTCCATTGCAGTTTATCGTAATCCACCAAATCCCAAACAAATATTTCTTTTGTCGTTCTCAGAGCGCAACGCAAACTTCCACCAAATTGCTGAATGCATCCCATCCGTATGGGGTTTTTAGTACGTGGTGTCTCTATTTCTCGACAAACCTTCTTCTTGAGATCCACTGCATCTATGAAAGAGCAGTCGAGGTCCAAGAAATGCAAATTTCCACGAACGAAAGCTGAAACAGTGGTATATGCATGATTAATCGGGCCCTTACAGTCCTCGTACTTTACCCACTCACGGGTCTCGGATGACAGGATCTCCATATAATTGGTGTCTCGTCTATTGATCATCGCGGCAACCTTGTAGTGGGGGGAGAGACGGGGATCAAAGGCGAAGGCCATTTGGTAGGGATGGTCATCTGCAGGTTCAGGTATCTTGTGATATCTCTTGGTGGCTGGATTGCATACGTAAAGGCACTTGTCAGGCCGAGTAGAACACAAGATCAAGCCATTGCAAGTGCTTTGCACCAGTAATTTGTGATGTTGAGGCAAGAAACCGAGAACAGATTTGATGTCGAAGCCGATAGAATCCTCTTGCTGCAGGTGATTGGTTGGCGTGCTGACGTACACCGAGTCTTCATCGAACTCGTCGCCCACCTCATAGAAGAGTCCGGAGAGGGGCGAGGGTAGCTTCTTGCGGTAGTAACCATTGTTGTTGGTGATGATGGCGTTCCAAGATTTCGAAACACAGGCGAAGCGGTACAGAGATTTGACGGGCAGTCGAGAGAGAATCTCAACCAGCAAGTCACACGTCAATTTGTTCGCGCTGCTCATCTCCATAGATTGATTTAATCTTTCCTTAGTTTGTTCAATTCAATATAGCAATCAGACTATATATTGGCCGTGGGGGTGACTAGAGAGAGAGTCCAAACCTTCTGCTACCATAAAAACACAACCAAGGATTCTAGTACCAAGAAAATTTGTGCAGCAAATAGAAATCTTGTACGTGCAGATACACTTGATAAAAAAAATATATTTTTCTATATTTTTAAACTTTGTCAATAATTTGCAATATATTTTAATTTTATTTGGAAATAGATAATGCATTTTAATAACAGACGTTGAGAGGGCAAGATGCTTTTTAAGAGAAAATTGTCTTTCTTTGAACTTGGTATCATCGTTTCTCCAATTATTTTTCCGTCATACTTACTATTCTTTTTATACGGTAGTATAGTCATAGTAGATTTAAGTATGGAATCTTGTTTTAAAAAATAGATGTATTTATTATTATTATTATTATTGAAAATTCATCAATTTCTCTTCCAATTTTATCGGATGTCTCCGAAGAGACATCAATTTCTCTTTATATCCTTTAAACTAAATATAATTGATATTAAATTATATGTGTGCTGCATTCTCATTTTCATGACATAGAATAAATTGGGATTATCTAGAAGAAAGAGAGAGAAAAGGACAAAGAATAGAGAGTAGAATTTTTTCTTGTGAAATTCTGTCTCAAATCTATGCTACTATATAATAAAATGTTGTGCACCTCGTGCAAAGCACGACCCCTTTTTTGTTTGTGCTACAGTAATTCTTTTTTAAAATGCTACAGCAATTCTTTTTTAAATGTTACAGTAATAATCTCCAAATCCACCAATGGGTGTTCTCTGAATCCACAAAGAATGATCTCCGAATCCACGAAAAATATCGAATCCGCGAAGAAAATATTAAAAGAGAAATTTTATTAATGAAAAGATATTCCTCTAGGGCTTACAATACTCTGCTTAAATAGAAAAAACACGACTCCTACTATTAGCCCAAATCAAAAACATTTGATTGCTCCCAATAGTTTACCATGGAAATAGATAGCTTGGAAACTCATATAGTAAAATTCAGTATGAGGACCAAGATCCGATCCCATTGTTTTTCAAATCACGAGCACTGAATTCTCTGTAAGTTTCCTTATATTTCTCATATATACATTCTTTTCGATTTTTTGTTTAATTATGATCTTTTGTTTGCACGGTAGTCATTATGACATAAATGAAGAAAACGAAGTAGATGATACTTCTGCTACATCGGATCAAAAAAATATATGTGTTTCTTTCTCTTGAAATATTATTTGTTATACTTCTCTGAATAATAATGTGACACATATGTGGCACTCATACTTCTTCAATCTTTTCTCAACCCTCAATGCTTAGAAGCACCTCGGAAATAGCTAAAATCTACATCAATTTAGGAACAAAATCAATTTTTTAATACGAAAAATATTCACTCTAAACAAAATCTAAAAAGATCCTCTCTCTCTCTCTCTCTCTCTCTTCCTACTTCCAAAACTTTGTGAAGCAAACAAAAAAGGTAAATGAAGAGGATGAAGTATTATTGGCACTGCTTCCAAAATTTTATGAAACAAACAGAAAAAGTACTACTTCCACTACTACCTATTTCATCATTCTAAAAGTTACTTCTTTTAATTACTTCTTACTTCTTCTACTTCCATCAGTCACCCTCAACAAATTTTAGGTTTAAAGTTCACTTTGTATTAATCTTTTCTAGTTTTTTTGGATATTCAAAAAAAGTTCCTTTTCACAAGTTTCCTCTGTTTTTTTCTTGGTGAAATTATATATTAATAATGAAAATTTAATTGCAGGAACATCAATGGTGCTTAACATCCATAGGGCACCCAAGGGCTAAAGATAAGTTTATCATACGCATAACTTTATGTTCATACATATGCTTTACACAAAGCACTAAAGTTTTTGGTCTGCTCCTTATGGCTATAATCAAATTCTTATACACAAATTCAAGGAGTATCTCATTCTCTTTTTCCTTAAAGATTAAAGTTAAACTCATCAAGAAACCAGTCAGTGTCCCAACTTATCATGGATACTCAAATCTATGAATAATATACGCATAGAATATACTATATCATTGAGAACCTTTAGTACTCGACTAAATAACTCTACTAACTTCATAAAAAATACGTCCACATTAAACTTTCTTATATTAGAAATGATGATAAATAATGGGAGAATCAATTTAGAAATTCATCGAAATTGATTGAGTCGGAAAAATGGTTGATTATAAAAAGAGAAAGGCTCGCTTCTTTTATTAGTGTCATGTAGGGCTGAGCATGGTTCGGTCCAAACCGAAAAAACAGACCGAACTAACCCGAACCGACCCGAAAAAATTAGTTTTATGAGTAGGGCGGTTCGGGTCGGTTTGAAAACTTTTCAACCCAAACCAACCCGAACCGACCGAATATAGTGCAATACTACACATTATGATCTCAAACCCTACCTGACCCATCCCCAAAGAGTCAAAGACTCAAACCCTAAACTCATTTTCTGAATCATTATGGGTTGAAAACAATATCATTATATCAGTGTTTAATGCTTCATAATCTCCTACTTTGTTGATATCCCAAACCAACCCGAACCGACCGAATATAGTGCAATACTACACATTATGATCTCAAACCCTACCTGACCCATCCCCAAAGAGTCAAAGACTCAAACCCTAAACTCATTTTCTGAATCATTATGGGTTGAAAACAATATCATTATATCAGTATTTAATGTTTCATAATCTCCTACTTTGTTGATATTTTTTTTAACATAGTTTGTTGTTTTTTGATAAGAAGTTTGATGAAGTTAGAACCGAACAAACCGAACCGAACCGTACCAAACCGACTTGCAACAGTTCGGTTCGGTTTTGAATTATAGACGGTTCGGTTCGGTTGTTCAAATTTTGATAAAAACCAAACCGAACCGACCGTTGCACACCCCTAGTTGTTGGCGGCATACTTGTGGGGGCCACAAGCTTTGGAGAATTGCAAAGTCCAGTGGATAAGAGGTCATGAGATTGAAGAACCCACGTGCTCTTGGAACCCACATGAAGAGATTGGCCACGAAGTTCTGGAAACCGTGTTTGAGGATATTGTTTAGCGGACAAAAGCAAGGCCCACCCGAAAACAACTTTGAAGCTATAAATAGATTTATTTGTGCCCTAGGTACGAGTGCGCAAGGAGAGGTGCAATTGTGAGGCTGCGGTAAAGGTGCAGGAGCTTGAATTTCGGCTGTGAGCATTGGGTTTTGTGCAGAGGAATAGTTTTGCGGCTGAATTTGTGCATCTTTTGTGAGAGATTGAGAGATTGTTTGAGGGTTTAAATTTGAGAGATTGTAAACCCTATTTGTATTCTCTTTACAACAAGTGGTATCAGAGCCCAGATTCCAGATCTAGGGTTTGGTTGGAGGAGTAGATCAATTTGGAGGCCCGTTTAGGACTTCGTTGGTGATAAAGGTGGGATCTTTTGGTAAAGACTCTATCTTTCAGTTTTGGATCTATTCTTTGTTCGTTGGTGCGTAAGATGTCGGGGAAAGAAGGTGCTTCGGGTGTCGAGGGTGGTGCTTCTGGCGTGAAGACCATTCAGAGTTTGAATATCCACTCTATGAAGATAGATGTGGAGAAATTTAATGGCACAAACAACTTTGGATTATGGAGATGCGAGGTTTTGGATGCGCTGAACGCGCAGAATTTGGAGGATACATTGGAGTTAGATGGCAAGCCAGATGAGATTGAAGAGAAGGTTTGGAAAAAGATGAATCGAACGGCGTGTGGTGTGATTAGGTCTTGTTTGACTCAAGATCTAAAATATGATGTGATGAATGAGACTTCTGCGAAGAAGATTTGGGAGATTCTCGAAAGCAAGTATTTGACCAAGAGTGTGGAAAATCGCTTGCATTTGAAGAGGAGACTTTATCGTTTCCAGTTGAAGAAGGGAACCTCCATTAGGGATCACATGAACCACTACACAAAGCTTCTTGCGGATTTGACGAATGTGAATGTCAAGATTGAAGATGAGGACAAGGCGTTGCTGTTGTTGAGTTCCTTGCCCGACGAGGAATATGAGACCTTCGTCCTTACTCTTATTAATGGGAAGACATCCCTTTCGTATAGTGAGGTCACTACTGCATTGGTGAATTATCAGCTTCGGAAGAAGGATAAGGAGAATTCGACTGAGTCGGTAGCAGAGGCGTTGGTCGCAAGAGGGAAGAATCCGAACCGAAAGAATTGGAAGTCACAGTCTAGAGTAGGAAAAGATCAGTGTGCTTGGTGCAAGGAGACTGGTCATTGGAAGAAAGACTGCCCAAAGCTCGACGAATGGATGAAGAATAAGCAGAAGGGAAAAGGGAAGCAACCATCATCAGAAGCAAACATCGTATCGGATGGTAATAATTCTGACTCTTCTATTTATTCGCTTTCTATCAGTCCTACAGATAGCTATTCGGAGGAATCTGAATGGATGTTGGATAGTGGTGCGACCTATCATGTGTGCCCTAGAAGGGAATGGTTCTCCAGTTTTGAGAAGCTGGTGGATAGTGGTGTGGTGTACATGGCTGATAACCGTGCATGCCAGATCCTTGGGATAGGAAGAATTCGCATAAAAATATTTGACGGGACTGTTAGGGAGCTAAATGATGTGAGATATGTTCCTTCTTTGAGGAAGAACTTGATCTCGATTGGAGCTTTGGTTGGAGAGGGTCTGAAGGTTCGTGTTGAGGATATGGTTCTCGAGATTGTGAGAGACTCTCGTATTTTGATGAAGGGCGTCATGAGGAATAACCTGTATTACTTGACTGGAGGTATAGTGACAGGTGGAGAGCTGGCAACTTCTGTTGATTCGACTAGACTGCGGCATTTGGGGCTTGGCCATTCCAGTATTGATTCCTCGCATAGATTGAAAGATGGTGCAAAGACCTGCAGTTTGAAGTCCAGTGAACATGTTGATGTGAGCAAGAAGACCGAGGTGAAGTGTGGCACCTCTATTCACCGTGCTAAGGGTCGTTCTGGAGGAGTTCACGTGGATGTTTGGGGACCTTCCAAGGGGGTATCATTGAGAGGTAATAGAAGTTTGGTTTCCTTTGTTGGTGGCTGTTCTAGGCGTGTTTGGGTTGCAACCAAATCCCCATTTGGAGAAAGTCCTAGTAGTCTCTAACAAATTGAAGAAGTGTGTAATAGAAAGAAAGGTGAAGGTACTCCATTCTGGTGGGAGGTACAAGATGGACCTGTTTCTGTATTGGAGCCGAGCTCACGGCATTTCGAGACACTTCGTTGGAAAGGAAATCTTGGGCCAGCTAGATAGGGTGACAAATTTGGAGAACCGTACCTTGCTGGAGGAGGATCGGTGTTTGATGTCAAGCAATGGTCTGCAGAAGAGTTTCTGGACAGAGGCTTCGACATATTTGGGTCATCCTATTAAAGAGTTGTCAACTGCTGTGATTGGAGGTAAAACTCCATTGGAAGATAGGTCTGGTAGTGTCACTTTGGTTGAAGCTTCGATGAGGAAGCCAATTGACTCTCAGCAGGTGGAGAGTTTTGGACAGACCTTAGAGGTATCGCAGCGGGTGGAGAGTGATGCTACTCCACATTGGGTGAAGATTACTCCAGATCATTCTGCATTGGTTTGGATTCCAGCTGAGGTGACACAGCGTGGAAGTCATTTTGATTCGGATGCAGATGATGAGTTGGGTTTTGATTCGAGTGCAGCTGATAGATGTAGCTTGGATATGATCATTGGTTCACCTCAGGTGGAGGTGTTTGAGGCCATTGGAGGTGCTATCAGCCGCAGAGTTGATGATATTAGAGAAGGGTTGCGAACTCTTCTAGTGGATTGAGGCCTTTGGAGGCTATTTGGGTGAACTACGTTCGGCTTAATTCCTTGGGCAAGAGGATACGTAGGCAGTCTTTATGATGCAGCCGGTTTTGGATTTTAATGGGGGTGAGATCGATTTGGTGAGTTGATACTGACATTTGGAGAGTGTTTGCATTCTCATTTGGGTTCTCGACTTGTTATGGATTGAGTCTGTTGTCGTGAATTGTTTCACGGTGTACTGGACACAACAAGTGAGACATTTGGTTTGGTCGGTGTCGGCTCAGTTTTGAAAAAACTTCACCGAGGTGGAGAATTGTTGGCGGCATACTTGTGGGGGCCACAAGCTTTGGAGAATTGCAAAGTCCAGCGGATAAGAGGTCATGAGATTGAAGAACCCACGTGCTCTTGGAACCCACGTGAAGAGATTGGCCACAAAGTTCTGGAAACCGTGTTTGAGGATATTGTTTAGCGGACAAAAGCAAGGCCCACCCGAAAACAACTTTGAAGCTATAAATAGATTTATTTGTGCCCTAGGTACGAGTGCGCAAGGAGAGGTGCAATTGTGAGGCTGCGGTAAAGGTGCAGGAGCTTGAATTTCGGCTGTGAGAATTGGGTTTTGTGCAGAGGAATAGTTTTGCGGCTGAATTTGTGCATCTTTTGTGAGAGATTGAGAGATTGTTTGAGGGTTTAAATTTGAGAGATTGTAAACCCTATTTGTATTCTCTTTACCTCTATTAGTAGATCCCCCTCCTTGCCCCGTGGACGTAGGCAGTTTGCCGAACCACGTAAAATTGATTGTTTGAGTTTGTGGCCATTGTAATAGTTTTAGGATCCCTCGACGCGCAGTCCTAGAGCTGACGAGAGGAAGAGCAAATATCCCACTTTGATGGGATATTAGGCTTTCAGATTCTTGTTCCCTTTGAGAAACAAGAATTCTTATCGATCTTTCTCTCTTATTGTGCACCAGAAACTCTGCCGAAATTTCCGCTGCGCACAACAACCTAGTGTCATGTGTTTTTCTAGGTGAAGGCGGTTACTTGTTGATCGTATCAGAACATTTATATGGTGACTTGATACGAGCAGAGTTATTGCTTGTTGAAGAGCTCTCAAAGTTTCAAATATATCGATCATGGAGCGGTTTCAGCAGAAATGAAGCCCCAGGCCAGAGTGAAGGTTGATGATATTGAGCAAAGTTAGATGTGTGAGAAGCGTGAAGGGGAGTAAAATTAGAGAAAATTAGATGATCAATACTGGTTATTATTTGTATTGTCATACGTGATATGTATATATTGTTGTAACTATAAATGTATACAACCCTCAATTTACAGAATTTTCATGTTTATCTAATGCTTGAGTAAGTTGCGAGCGCTTGCTTTTTCCTTTTTTTTCTTTTTTTCTTTTTTTCCCCTCTCTGTGTGATATGGAAAATCTCGTTTCTTATATTTATTATGATGCAACAACTAAACTAATATTAGTTCAACGAATAGAAATAGGGAGAAAAATTGTGTGTGTTCTCTTATTCTCCTATTTTCTACGTTGGAATTTCTGGCTGCTCATAAAACTACTTGTACTGTTCTCTTTGATGACATTGATAACAACTTTTTCTTTTTTGCTCTGTGGTGATATTTTATTTTGTTTTTAATAGGTATTAAAATTACTGGTATTGCTCTCTTTCATGAAATTGATAATATCTTCTTCTTCTTCTTCTTCTTTTTTGCTATGTGGAGATAAAAATCAATAATCTCCACCTTGGATTTGATTCCTAGATATCACATTGAAGATATATCATTGTCGTCTTAAAACTACCTCTCCCTCTAATATTTCTATTGCTTTTAACTTTAACCGAAGTGCTCGTACTTCTAACCGGAACACATGCACCCAAAACAGGATGATCGTGACCCTTGTTGTCACCAACCTCGCCATGACGCTTCCACCTCTTATGTGTACCAAGAGATCTTCACCACTATACCATCAGAAGCAAATAGAACATGCTTCTCCTCCAACTTGAACCTCCAGCTCCACAAGCATTGCTCGTCTCAAATAAATCGATGCGCCTTTCCTACTCCACCATACGAGCCAAATGCCTTCATCCCTTCTATTGATTGGCCTGCATTGGATATAACCGCTCATTGCCCTACATCTCCCTACAAGTCCAATGCCACTGTCTCAATTGCCATGTGTCACTTTCTCATACCCACTTCCAAGCTCCACCTAATCTGGCAACATCTCCTCGAGGTTACACATATCAACCAACTCGTGCTCCTGCGATGACCCCCATAATTACATGATGACAACTGGCCCCTCTAAAGAGAATCGTATAGTCCAGCACAACACGATGCCCTCTGATATGATTCAATGATTCATACTCCCTGATAATGGTGATGTGGAGCTGCCGATGATGTCTATCTTACGTTTAAATTAACATGTCTAAACCCTCATTACTTTTTATGCGTTCAACCAATATTGTTCTTCAGAACTTGATTCATCCATACATAATTTCTCGCAATTCTAGTTTATGTCTGATGCATGTATGTAATTAATGAGTGTAAAATCCCCACTGCAGGGCTCAGAGATCACCACTAAAGTTGAAGTTGATAAAAACAAATTATGTATTCCAAATGAATGTTTGCCGACAATGTAAATTAAACAAAAAAGTGGTGAGTCCAAGCCACTGAATCTGATCAAATTGCACTACGCACTTTGATCCAAGATGAATGGATAGTCTGCCGGCTACTCTTATATAATACACTGAAATTTGGTGCTTTATAAACTATAATTCCATATTTCGAATCCCAAAAAAACCCATGAAAGTTCCATCATTTGAATAATGATGAAAAGGAATCATGATGTGGTGTGCACAGGTAGCAAAAGCAAAAGGTCACCACAAACTTTGAACTTGTGCAAGCAAATTATTTGATTTGAAAAAGATATTGAAGCGAGTCAAGGGGGGATAAGCTAGACACCCACAAGCTTACAAGTCAAGGAGAAGCCTGCGAGGATCCTCAACTACATCCTTGATCCTTCTAAGGAAGAAGACAGCCTCTCTTCCATCAATCAATCTATGATCGTAGGTCAGTGCAATGTACATCATCGGCCTTGGAACAACTTGACCGTTGGCAACCACTGGCCGGGAGACAATAGAATGCATACCTAAAATAGCTGACTGCAAATCAAAAAATAAAGATAATGAAGGGATGCCATTTCAGTTCGAGACTCACAAAATAAGCATGGAATAAATTATAAGATAAATTTCACAAAAAAGTTGGGGTGGTTTTGCATAAAACTATCATAAACTTATTTTATTTGAGAAATACATAAAATACATTGTTTGAAATTGTTGCTGATGGAGTTAATGGCTAATAGATAAGCATCACACATGTGAAGCGCATAACAACTTACCCTAACTGCCGTCAGACATGATAGTTTAGTGAAAAAAATGATCAGGATAGTTTTCTCTAATAAAAAAATAATGGTGCTTTTATGAAAAAAAAAACCACGAAAGTTCATGGCAGTTTTGTGAAGTTTACTCTAAATCATAAGATGATAGAAGAGAATACCTGTGGGGGATTGATAATTGGGGTACTTAGAAGGCTTCCATAGACCCCTCCATTTGAGATAGTGAATGATCCTCCAGCCATTTCATCAATAGATAAAGTGCCGTTGTTTGCCTTCTTAGCTAGAGTATTGATCTCTTTTTCTATTTCTGCGAAGTTCATTTTATCAGCATCACGAATAACTGGCACCACGAGGCCCTGGAGAAGCAAAAAGTTAAATGAGACAAAATAATAGAATGTAAAACTATAACATTTTGCGCCTTTGCTAGTGACAAGAAATCAGCAATGCAGCATTTAACACCAGAAATATTGAAATATAAGCTCTTCAGTCTTCAAAAGATTAGAAGGTTAACAAACCTTGGGAGTACCAACAGCAACACTGATATCAACATAGTCTCTATATATAATATCTTCGCCATCAATGACCGCGTTGATAATTGGCTGATTCTGCAGTCCGGTAACTGCTGCCTGATAGTATAATGTGAAATGTGTGTAAGTAGGATGGCAAATTTCCATTGAGATTTGATGTGTATAAAAAATTGCATACCTTAACAAAGCCGGACATGAACCCCAATTTTACGCCGTGTTTCTCAACAAACGCATCTTTATAATCAGAACGAAGTTTCATCAGGTTTGTCCTGCAGAATGTAATCTAGAATGAATAAAGAACAAAAAAAAAACCTTTACGTAAAATTTTGGAGTCAGCCACATGGACCCTATTCTTCAAATCAGTTGATTTAGTTATGAATGAGCAGAATAAATTGTCTGTGAGAAAACATTCACGAGAAGTAAAAGGTTCACACAAAGAATATAATAAAGGATAAGAAAGTTGTTCATAATTAATACAAAGCACATAGTCAAACGTGCATCACAAAACCTGAAACAGTTACTAAGGGTTATTGGTAGTTGTTTAGTCAATAATCACTAGTTTTGTCCGATAGCATCGACCAATACATTATTGGCCAAACTAGCTTATTTAATGTTTATACTTTTTGTTCTTGCTATATGCTACGCTTTCAAGTTTCCTCAAGACTGATTGTGTAGTTAATACCAAAAAGAGTATAAATTTTAGGCATTTGGTCTTTTCCATGTGGTCATATCCTGTACTTTTTATTAAATATGTTTTTTTAAAATCTTTAATCCTGTTTTCAATGCCATTAACTTCTTTTAGCTGAAACCACGAAATCCCACACTTGATATAATAAAATGCAGGATAATTGGAAACTAAAAGGAAATATTTCCAATCATGTTTGATGAGCATAGTGACAACAGATAGGAAAAAGAGTATCGTACATGTCAACTTCATTAAATGTAGTTAGCATAGCATATGTGTTTTGAGAGTCCTTCAAGCGTGTAGCAACTCGTTTCCTGAGACGACCCATGGGAACCTGAAAGTAAAAAGAACTCGGAACTCGATCAGTTCACAACAAAAGCATATATATGTATATGTATATGTATATTATTAACATAACATGTACCATCTATTGAAAAGTCACAGCAAGCCTTACTCAAAAGGCCCATTTCCTTGAAGTATAGCTGATAGAAAATGCTGGTTTCATTTACTATTTAAGCTGGGATTTGAGACAAGATTTTACTCCAAGTGCTCTCATACCATATTAATTCTATTGAAAAACTTAAGCTAATATATGGTTGGCTGACAACTACTTTATACTAAAATGTCAAACAAAATCAAATTTTCAGACATTTAACCTTATATTCATGATAAAAGCTACCCAGAAAATAACATGGTGAAACTTACTCGTCTCTCCCTATCCTTAGGAGGAAGTTGTGGCTCAGAAGCAGAGGCTCGAGTAGGTGCAGGAGACGCTTCTTTTGGTTTCTCTTTGATAACATCTTCCACTTTAGGCTTTGGTTTCTCTGCTTCCTTAACTACAGGGGGAGATGGCTGAGGAGCACCTTTATCCGATTCCTCTGATGGGGCAACATGGGTATCGGTTGAAGCAGACTTTGTGATGACAGCAACCTTAGTTCCAGGCATCACAGTGTCGCCTTCCTTGGCTACAAACTGTCAAAAATATATATTGAAGTGCAGTAAATAACTGTAAAAGCATACAAATAGAAGCAAAATGATTTCACATGGACCTTGGCATAACTTTATCATGGGATATAAAAACAAGGAAAAAATTATGAGTCGCGTTAGATGGTTAAAAACCTTTTCAATTATTCCGGCTTCAGGACTTGCAACATCAATAGTCACCTGCAAAAAAAGATAAAATATACAAGTGTCTCAGAACTACATCGAATCCCAAGTTTCTTACGTCAAAACTACTGAACAAATGGAGAAGAAAGACAGAGGTCGGCCTAAGAGAACTTGATTAGAAAAAATTAAGAAGGATAAGATAATTATAAACATAATAAGAGGAGATAGCCCTCAACATAACGGAGTGAAGGAGTAGGATTCATGTAGACAACTCTAAAAATTTGGGATAAAGGCTTTGTTGTTGTTGCATCAAGATTACTTAATTCTTAATAAAAAAAAGGGTACCTTATCAGTTTCGACCTGGGCGATTGGTTCATCAACTTCAACCCTATCACCAGGTTCTGTTCCAAATAAGATAATTATGAGGTCGATTGAAGGCAATAATTTTAAACTTATGAGTAGAATTATAACAATATGTGTCCACACGCACACAAATACGAACATACAGGTCTGTATCTAAAAAAGTGCCCATGCATGTGAGTGCATGAGTACGCATGTGCGGAGAGATGAAGCAAATAATCTCTGTGAATGTAAGCAGAAAGAAAGGAATGCACATACTCTTCAAGAATGTGGCAAGAGTTCCATCAGTTATAGACTCGCCCATAAATGGAACGACAGCATCAAAATGCTCACCTTCACCACCAACAGGAAAAGAAGAAAATCATAAGCAAAGCTTGACCACTTATTTGAACCTAGAAAATTGACATGCTGAGAATGATGAAATGTTATGAGGCCCTACCATTATCTGAAGAAAATGACCTGCTCCAAATACGATATGGAGAGTCCTTTGGAAGAAACTCAATAAATTCCCTGTATAATTTAATAAGTCCACAATTATGATGAGGTTCAATAAACTGAGAATATAGATAAAACCCTAATTATGCACTCCCTCTTAAAGAGAAAATGCAAAAAAAAAGCCCACTGCTAACCTCCTTGGTTTCAAGTTCATAGGTGTCTTGGGGCCTAAATTTAAACATTATGTTAGTCTTGTGTAGCTCGATTATGATCAATCAATTAAACCATACACAAAAGTTACCTGCAATATAGCTGAGATTTCTGACATGCCTGTAACTTCTGAAAAGGAAACATGTCTGCACAAATGTTACAATGGTAAAGATTATCTCCAAGATCTCCAAAAGTGGTGAAAAATTGATTGACAAATCCAATAACGATATATGGCAATGTTTTAGAAAGCGCTAGGCGTTTCTAGGTGCCAGACCTAGCGCCTAGAGCCCAGACACTTAGGCGGACGCTTAAGTGATACATAGATGGTTTTAACATCGAGAGAGGAAGGATTATATTTGGAGATTCAAATCATATCCTCAACGTTTTACTTGCGATAGACTTGCACATATTGTTTTGATCTCCGGTACATTTTAACCTGGCTAGCTCTCTTCAACCATTACTATGTTTAAGCGAGGAATATATCTCTTTCTAACACCGTATAGTCCATGTAAGCAGCCCGTTCTCCCCTAGGCACTCCCAAGACTTAGAGGGGCAGCCTAGGTACCGCTTAGGTTTAAGGCGGCCTAAGCGGGCCGCCGTAGACGGCGTGCGCAGACCTCTTTTTAACACGATATATATGGAACTTTAGGTGGTAAAAAACATGGAGGATTAAATATCAAATTGTGAACACGAAGGGTCTTGTTCTACTTTGGTCAATACATATTCGAATAGCTCACAGTAAACAACGAGTCAGCAACCAGAATACGAATGATATATTATATATATATATGTATATATATATATTATATATAATATAATATAGTATATATATATATATATATATAGTTCAGACAAATATGGGTCCATGACTCTTGATGACAACAAATGTAGATAACAGGCACATCTAAAAAGATGTAGCAGCATGACCTTTCAGACAGATCATGTATCAGTTGCATCTTTTGCAGGTGATTCTGATAACTCATCTCACTGGAAACTCTCTGTCTGCAATGGGAGTAGAACACGGGTCTTATACAACAACATAAATCTCCAATGGCTACCTGAAGGCATCATAGGCAATCACAAATTGCATGAACCTATAATGATCCAACCTAACAATAATTTTCTGAGAATACAGATTATACATCAAACTAGTTTTCTTATTCCATATTCATATATTCTTCTTTATGTTTAAAATAACTCATAATCTAAAGTGTCTCCTTAGCGGAATATGGTTTAATTGCCGCCTTATTCAACTTAACCCACTAAACCGATTCAAGGACCCACTGCACCACCTTGTTCGCCAGATTAATCCACAAGAATGAACCAGCTTATTTTGCCAACTCAAATGTCATCACGCGAAGCAAGTTCACTTCCTCTAAAATTCTAAAGCACTTTTGACCCAACAGACGTAAGATAAAAGTCTCATCTCGATTTCGTCTTAATTTTCAACATCAACCTCACCATAATTAAGGTTACAAGGCAACTAAAGGAGAAGATAATGACTCATCAATGCTCTTCCAAAACACCAATTTCCGTGCTTTCAGTTCTTGTTAACTACCGAATCTCACTTAACCTAAAACTATATCTAATCTCAGCAATTAAACCTAACAAAGAATAGAACTTCCGTCCAATCTTACCAATTAATCCCCAGCAAATTAAAACTAGCATGAAAACCCTAACCTCTAGAGATCGACAGAAAATTCACAGCATGAAACTAGATCGAATCAAATCCGAACCATTCATTCACATCAAAGAGAAACGAAAAGAGAGAAGAGAGAGAAAGTTTACGGCGGCGGGTCGACGAACTAGTCGCGCGAGATTCGACGCCATGGCGGAGATCGATCAAAGCTGAAGAAGACAGACGCCTACAATTAAATTAAAAAAGAACAAAAAATAGATCGAGAGACGAGAACGAAAACCCCAGAAATTTCATTACCTTTTTAGGGGAATTCAGAGTTTTCCTTTTCTTATTATTATATTGTTTTTTTTTTCGTTTATTTGTTGTTTTCCTCTGTATTTGTCTCTGGTGCGTTCGGTTGCGTTCTCGACTTCGGTTCTCGGATTCAGACTTTTGGCATTTCACTCTACTGTTTTGAGCTTTTCGATATTAGTTCTCGTATCTTTAACATTTTGATATTAGGCTCCAAACCTTTATTTTTTGAAAATTAGTCTCCCGAATCTAGCAATTGTTTTGGAAGTAGTCTAGCATATTTTTAAACTTGTCCTCGAAATTTTATAAGTATTTTGAAATTAGCCCCTCTAGTGAGCACCAAATTGAAAGATTTGGGGAACTACTTTCAAAATACATAAAGGATTTGTGGGACCAATTTTAAAGTACTTAAAGATTTGGTGGACTACTGCAAAGTTTGAAGGTTTTAGGGGACTAATATCATAATAGGAAACGTTTGGGGGACTAACAAAAAAAGCCATTTGGTTTATTTTATTTTAACTGTTTACAGTTTTACTTCATTCTACTGTTTCTGCTTTTTCGTTTAATTTATTCTTTAACCTAGTCTATACTATGAAAGAGGATTCCTATGTCAAAATTTTTGACTGTTATTTTTTTCTTCTTAATTAAAAGTTTTGACATAGGAATCCTATTTAATGCATAAATTACTTAATTAGTTAATTACGTTTACTAGGGAAAAACTCAAATGCCCATTATTATTGAATAAGTAACAAACGTAGTAGTAATAATTAGTAATAATGATGCCCCCCCAACCCAAAAGGCAACCCAAAAAAATTTATGATATGATTGCTATAAAACTTAGAGTTACATTTTCCTTCTACATAGCAGTCAAGTCTCTTTTGATGCTATATTAATAAGAGCACCTAGATTCGTCATATCTACTGTTGGACTTACAAAGGTGGAGTTGTCAACCAAAACCTAATTTCTCCACCAGCCTTTCAAATTCTATCTCTTTGAAATTTAAGCAATTGATAAATTCTCACAAACTGCTCTAATTACCGATATCTCTCCAACCCGTAGCACTCCATGTTCAAAATCCACTCACTTAACCAGAAACCTAAAATTTAATATCTAGAAAGCCCAAAACACAATTGCTTGAGCATAAAATCTCATTTAGCAAATGGTCTTCCTTCATCCGGTGCTAATCCAGGAGAAAAAAAAGGCTTCTCGAAAGTGGGGGGGGGGGGGGACGGAAAACTGAAAAGGTCTGAAATACATGCTCTTTGCATGTAAATTTATTGGTTGCATCTGTTGTGCGCAGCGGAAACGAAGGACGACGAACAAGATAGGAGAACAAATCAACAACCAAACACAACCACCACACCAGCAATACACCAAATTTACGTGGTTCGACAATGTGCCTACGTCCATAGGACAATGAGGGGGAAGATTTCACTGAGAGAGAGAGAGAGAGAGAGAGAGAGAGAGAGAGAGAGAGAGAGAGAGTACAAATAGGGTTTACAATCACTTAATAATCTCACAAAATAACCCTCAAATAAAACTCTCAAATCCCTCACAAATTCTCCCTTTCTAAGTGCTCAAAACAATGCCCAAATCTCAGCTCACCTTCAACCCTAGAAACGTCATGTTCCTATTTATATCAAATAGGAATTCAAAATAGGTCAGGAAACGAACAGTGCCAAAAACCACTACGCGGTCGACCGGGCATGAGCATCCGATCGACCGGCCATAAGTTCAAACTCTCATCCTATAACTCATCATACCTTCGGTTGATCGAACATACATGATCGGTCGACCGGCCAGACGCGGGAATCCAAACCCTGTATTTGTACAACTTTTTGGTCGATCAGACATGTATGTTTGGTCGACCGGCCAGCGACAATGTTTCTCACCCTGTAATTTCACAGTTTGTCGGTCGACCGACCTATGCATTTCAGTCGACCAACCCGTGACTAGTCCTGTGCACTCCAAACTTCCTGATCTTCTTCGTCATTCCTACAAATCTCCACATCGACGAAGTTTTTTTTTAAAACTGAGCCAACCTCAATACCAACCATCCCACTTGTTACGTCCAGTATGAAGTGGAGTCAATCTACAACAACGAACTCAATCCACAACAACTCAAAAACCCAAATGAGAACTCTAACAAGAATGTCCATCGTGTCGGTATTAACTCATCAAATTGGTTGCATCAAACTAACTAACTACGTATCCTCTTGCCCAAGGAATCAAGCCCCACGTAGTTCACCTAAATGGTCTCCAAAGACCCTCAACAACAAAGAACGTTCAACAACTCCAAACAATGATCAAATTTTACCCCAGTGACAACTTTTGTCAACATATCCGTAGGATTGTCCTTCGTATGGATCTTCTCTAATATAATGTCTCCATCATCCAAGACATTTCGCACAAAATGGAATTTGACATCAATGTACTTTGTTCGGGCATGATACACCTAGTTCTTTTCCAAATAGATAGCTAACATGCTATCACATTTTACCCTAATGGTATCATGTGTAATCCTCAAGTTATCCAATAACCTCTACAACCACAAAGCTTCCTTCACAGCTTCAGTCAACGCCATATACTCTGCATCCGTAGTGGAAAGAGCCACTGTAGACTGAAGTGCACATCTTCAACACACCAGTGCTCCTGCTAGTGTAGACACATATCCAGTAGTAGACCAGCGCTTATCAAGATCTTCAACATAATCTGAATCTACATATCCAACACAATCCTGCTCATTTCTCCCATTCTTCTCAAATACGAAACCATCATCCATGGTACGTTTGATAACCGTAAGTCCACTTCACGGCCTCCTAATGGCTCTTCCCGAGGTCGTGCATGTACCTAGACACCATGCTCATGATATGTGATAAATCTGACCTTGTACACATCATAGCATACATCAAGCTACTCACAACATTGACATATGGAACTTTAAACATGTATTCACGGTTCTTAACTAAAACAGGTAACATCTTAGCTAATAGTTTAAAGTGAGGAGCTAATAGAGTACTCACCGCCTTGGCATTGCCATCAAAACTAAATTTCTTTAGCATCTTTAACAAATAGCTCCTCTGAGTCAATTTTAACCTCCCCTTTATCCTGTCTCTCTCAATTTTCATACACAATATCTTCTTTGCTTCTCCAAGGTCATTCATCTCAAATTCGGATGACAACTCATTATTCAACTTCCTAATAACTAAAGTATTCCTGGAAGCAATGAGCATATCGTCAACATAAAACAACAAATAAATATACTCGTCATTCTGTAGCTTATGCATGTACACACACGGGTCATATGGGCTCCTCGTGCACCCTTGGCCAATCATGAAACTATTGAATCTTTTCTACTATTGTCGTGGTGATTGCTTCAATCCATAAAGAGATTTCTTTAATTTACATACCAAATCTTCCTTGCCTGCAGCTTTAAAACCCATTGGTTGTGACATATAGATCTCATATTCTAAATCCCCATGTAGAAAGGCTGTTTTTATATCCATCTGGACCAAATCTAAATCCAGCTGTGATACTAATGCTAATAGTATTCTTATCGATGAATGCTTCACAACATGTGAGAATACCTTGTTGTAATCAATACCCTCAAGTTGGGCATACCATTTGACAATCAATCTAGCTTTGTATCGAATGTCCCCATCAGAAGATCCTTCTTTCTTTGCATATACCCACTTACATCTAATTGCTTTCTTACCCTTTGGTAATTTTACAAGTTCCCAAGTATCATTCGTTTGAAGATAATGCATCTCCTCCTCCATAGCTTTCCTTCACTTGATTGAATCAGAGCTTGACTCTGGTTCCTTATATGTAGAAGGAACCAAATCATCAATGACCTTCACTGACAAAGTATATGCAATCATCACATCATCATATCTAGCTGGCCGACGAATGATTCTTCTTAGTCTATTAGCTGTAATGAACTCCTGAACACGACCTTGTTCCTAAGTCCCAATATCTACTGTATCCTCCACCTGCACATATGTCTTATCTCCTCCCAGTGTCACATCTGTAGGAGACTTAATAGATACAATGCTATTTGAAGTCTGTAAAATCACATCATCCTCTACCTTCTGTGATACCCCACTAGTCTGACCTTTCTCTACCTGTTGAGGGACCTGAGGTCTCATCATGTGAGCCTTATCAAAAGTGATATCTTTGCTAATGATTATCTTCTTATCTTCTAGATCCCACAACTTGAAGCCTTTAACTCCATCCATAAAACCCACAAAGACTATTTTTCTTGCTCTCGGATTCAATTTCGATCATTCACACGAAAGTAAGCTGGACACCCAAATATCCGAATCAAATCATAATCACTAGCCATTGTACCAGACTATATCTCTATAGGAGTCTTTCCATGTATCATAGCGCACGACAACCTATTCATGAGATGGCTTGTATAAACCAACGTCTCGGCCCAAAAGGATCTAGTTAATCCGCTCTATAAGAGCATACAATTCACCTTCTCTAGCAAGGTACGGTTTCTCAGCCACCTTGTTTTGTTGTGATGTCTTCCTAATAGTGAAATGGCGCCTAATGTCATGATCCCGACAAAACTGTAAAAATGGATCACTCTTATACTTACCACCATTATCAGAACGGAGTACTTTCACCTTTCTACCTATTTGTAGCTCCACTTTCTTTTTTCATTTCACAAAGATATCCAGGACCTCATATTTATGCTTCATGGTATATACCCAATTCCTTCTGGAATAACCATCAATGAAAGTGATAATGTAACATTCCAAAATTTTTCCTTTCATTGATCGGATACCGTTACCGATACCAATCCATAAATTAGTAGATTATTTTCTTCATTGCATCTCATATAATCTTCTAGTATGAGAATTTAAACTTAGCTAATTCTCATATTGTGATCTAGTTAACTAAGTCCATGCATACAAACTTAGCATGTAAACCTAAGTTAACCATGCTTTAAACCTTGATTAGAGATAACCAAATCATTAAATACCTAATTTGAACACTCTAATTAACATAATTGTTTAATTTTGGTCAGCCATGTTAGTGGGAGTATTTTACATTTTAAACCCTCATCTTTGGCCAAATTGAAGATTTCTCTTCACATGGGTTTATATATATATGTGTCCTCCACCTCTCATTTTGCCATTCTA